ACATTGAATCCTTATATTAACAATTGTGAGTGTTAATTAAATTTTACTCTATAACTAAATTAAACTCTAATCATAGTAAAAATCAACTGGACCATATGTTCCCTGGCTCAGTGTTAAAATTGACTCTTAGTGTTGTTCTGACACTGCTCATGTGATACCCACATCTATAGCTTATTAACTTTAGGAGTCAAATGTATTCAAGATGGCTGCCACAGCTATGCAGTCCTAGCAAACAAAAGAAGCTACAGCTCAGGGAACTTTACATTTACTGAACTACAGTTTGTCTGGTGGTAGCTGAGAGTCATTCCCAACCTAAACTCCGGGAACTGATGCACAAGATGCAGTTTGAAAACTTTGACTTTTGGAGTCACAGTATGTTAGTAAAATATCTCACGAACCACTGGATGGATTTTAATGAAACTGAGAAGGTAATTTTGGGTGTATACAGCTTCTACAGCTGACTGATTTTTGGAGTCGACCCAATTTAAAACAGGAAGTACAGATAAACAAACATAAATTGGACAGGTATTGAGCTAAAAATTGGTGCTGTAGTAGCTGAGAGTCATTATGTGGCTGAGTGGTTAGAGCGGTCGTCCTCCAATACAAGAGTAGGGGGTTTGAATCCACCAGCATTCACATGTAAGACACTGAACCCCTCATTGCCTCCGATGTGTGTCCCATCGGTGTATGAATGTGATAAAGCTCTGATTATTCTGTGTAGAGATCTAGTAGAGTGCTGTATGAATGGGTAATTGAGGACACAGATTGTGTTGTAAAAAACTTTGAGTATCTTGATAAAATAGAAAGGTGGTATATAAGTACAGTCTATTAACCATTTACTATTTACAACTCATATTCTGAGTACTAATACAAGATCACATGAGGTGGCAAAGAATGACATGTCCCAGGTTAGACCTGAACAGCGAAAGAGTCATTTCTCATCTGATGATCTGAGTCTTAACGATGTGAGTTCCTCCAAGGCCTTCAGTCCAGAAAGCTTTTATTTTGGTGGGCGTTTTTACAAGTAAGCCTATCAGAGCCCACAGTTAACGGTCGATCTCCAGATCAGGAATGCTGGACTCTGGCTTTGTCTATTCTGAGAAACTCTGGTCCTCTTCCCTCCCCCTCCATGCTGCCATACCAGGATCCAACCTCTCCCCTCGCGCTGAAGGTCAGAGCTGGTGGAGCGGAGCTGGTGTGAGAGGCGCCACGCTTGTCACACACACACACACATGCACACACTCAACAACTTGATATGCAAACTGACAGGAAGTACAGGTGACAGTGCAACAAGCTGCGCTCGCAGTAATGTCACTGAACATGTTTCTGTCTGCATCCATGTAAACAACGTAAACAACGTCAACAAAACTGATGGAGGCTGGTGTACCCTAAAGGAACGCACGTTACCTTCTGTTGAGAAACGACACAGCTGAAGTTATTTGGTCAAAACTTGAATAAAAAAGTGATTGTGATATCTGGAGATGCTCACAGTGCGTGTTGTGAATGACTCTCAGCTACTACCACAGCAAGCTGTTGCTCAGTATCCATAACACTAACAGAGTTTGTGTTAGCTGTTAATAACTAGCTGTGGTGGCTGCCAAAATAAACTGACTCCAAATGTTAATCATAATAATGATTACTTCCTGGAAGTTTCATTAAAATAAAAAAATTAATAAAAAATGCTAAAAACAAAACAACTGGACTTTGTTTAGTAGCTACGTCCAACAACAAGTCACAACTAACAAGTTGTTTTGTTTTTAACCATTTTTTAAAATTATTTATCATGTCCTGGATGACTGAGAATTTTCACCAGCATATTTATTTCAAATCTGAACATTTTTTCACAAGATATTTTGCTAACAAACAAATAGGGTTGACTCCAATGTTAATGCTTAGATTTTAGGCAAATAGCATGTGCCCTCTACTTAGAACAATGTTTACAAAACTTTTCAGCTACTGAGCAACAAAATAAAAGTCATGGAGACGTGAACTCTTGGGAAATGTTGCTAATGAGCCTTTTAACAAACAGCCAAATCAATCATTATATCTTTATCTATCAATCATTATATCTTTATCTATCAATCATTATATCTTTATCTATCAATCATATATATCTTTATCTATCAATCATTATATCTTTATCTATCAATCATATATATCTTTATCTATCAATCATATATATCTTTATCTATCAATCATATATATCTTTATCTATCAATCATATATATCTTTATCTATCAATCATATATATCTTTATATATCAGTCATTTTATATCTTTATATATCAATTGTTATATATCTTTATCAATATTTATATATCTTTATCAATATTTATATATCTTTATTTAGCAATCGTTATATATCTTTATCAATCATTGTATATCTTTATCTATCAAGTGTTATATATCATTATTTATTAATCGTTATATATCTTTATTTATCAATCATATTTATCTTTATCTATCAATCATATATATATTTATCTATCAATAA